TATTTTATTAATAATATTTTTTAATATTATCTTTTCATATATTCTATCTCTTCAATATTTTTTCATCAATAAAGTTTTAAATGCATGATATTTTTAAAAGTTTATATTTTTGTCTTAAAAAATAAGGTTGTAAGTTATATTTAATGAGCTTTATTGGTATGTGAGATTTTTATCTAAAAATGTCTTATAATTTAGGACAGAAGAAATACATTCTAAGACATACCCCCTTTGGTCTTATTTAAAAATTATTTCTACTAACTTCATTAATACCAACACAACAAAAGTATAAAGAATAAAATTTAATAAAATTACAAACATAATTCTCAAAAAGTAAATAAATTATATAATATTATTTTTTATTTCTCTTTCTCTCTTACTTTTAAAGGGTAGTTTAGACATTTTATTCAAAACAAAAATCACTATTAATCCAATAACTTATAAAATAGACCATTTCACCTATTTAAAATTAAAGGTGATCAATAAAGTAGATCGGAGGAGTATTGATTACTCCCTTCATCCTTATAGATAAGAAGTCTTTTAGAGTCTTTTTTGTCTCTAAATATAAGAGGTTGTTAGCATTTTTTTAATGAAATGATCATTATACCCTTTTAAATTGGAAAAAGAAAAAGATAAGTACTCTCTTTAATTTACTTTGAAAAAGAGATTTTATTTACAATAATTCAGAGCAAAATTGAAATGTTATTGTATTTTTAATTAGATAACAAACTTTTATTGGTTTACGTAATTTAATTAAAAATATTTATATATAAGGATAGAGGGAGTACATTGCATCATAAAAAATGATGATACAGAATAAATGAAGATAACAAATACAAAGTCAACAACATTGAAAAAAGAAAAAAAATGATAATATGTACAATTAGTCCTTTGAAATATGATAATTTCATTGAAGTCTTTAAAGACTTTTCTGTCATTAACGAATTTATATAAATAATTAAATTACCCTTGTTGAAAATAAAATGATCACATTTTTTAAATAATCACAAGTTTTTTTTTAATATTTACAATAATACAACATAAAATCACAACTTCACATGTCAAATTCTCGATATTGCTACAAGTGTTGAAAAAAATAAGTAATAGTCAAAAGTTTGTTCAAAGAATCACAATTTTTTTTTATATTCACAACAATATAATAGCAAATCACAAGTTCGCGTGTCAAATTCCTAATATTCTAGTTTGCTACAAGCTAGATGTTTGAAATAACAAATAATGATCATAAATTTTATTTAAATAATTATAACTTTGCTTCTTATATTGGCAAATGCAATAGTCAATCACGAGTTCGCATGTCAAATTCTTGATATTGCTATAAGTATTGGAAATAAATAACAAGTAATAATCACAAGTTTTATGTAAATAATCACAACTTTACTTCTTAATTATATTCGCAATAATGCAATAGTAAATCACAACTTTGCATGTCAAATTTATGATATTGCTACAAAGGCAATTTGATTATTTATATAAATTTATTAATGATAAAAAAATTTCTTAAAACTTTAGTGAAATTGCAATATTTTGAGGGAACATGTTGTTATATATATAATTCAAATGGATTTTATTATCATTTTTCTTTCAAAAAACTATTAGACACCATGAAGAAAAAGCTGATACAAAAGCGAAATATTAGAGGAAATAATTGTAACGATCAAGGTATGAATTTCCTTATTAACTTCAGCTGCTTATTAAATTATAGCCATCCAAATAATAGCAAAAAAAATAAAGAATATTTTCTTTACAATGAAGGAAATGTTAAAAATTCAAAAAATACAAAGAGGGAAACAAAGGAGATAAGACCCCACACATTACTATCATATAACTATCTACAAGCAAGTGGTCATTGCCTCTTCATGTTCAGGAAACTGAGCAGTGGTCTCTTAGGGATAGGAATCAACTTCACAACCCAACCATTATACCAAGAAATGGGCTGCCATTAAAATGCATTCGCCCCATTGAGACCAATTCAACCTTTCAGTGTTTGTAAATTTCTTCAAAAATTCCACTATCAATACCTAAAGCATAATGGTTATCCCTATGATCCCTATAAACAACTTATTCCTGTGAATCCCATTGAAAATATTCTTCTGCTCTATCTTCCTTGCATTAAACTCATTTAACACTTGGAATAGCAAAAATGTGTTGAAAATCAATGTTTCATTTACCTTTGAACTCACCTTAAATAAAGCCTCACCCTTAAATTGTAGTGTAAGTAGAATTGTGATCCGGTACAAAACTTGAGTTAAGAGATTTTTCCACACAATACTATGAACATCGTATTTAAGTAAAAAGCCTAATATAATTGAGTAAATTAAATAAATAAAATAAAAAAGGAAAAATAGGATTTTATAAAAAATTAAAATAAAATAATATCTTCATAATTTAAAAGGATTTTTTTTCCTTTTTGTGACCTCCAAATCCCTATAATTATGGTCCTATCAAATTAAATGTGATAATTTGAATATGAAATAATAAAGAAAATTCAAACTAGGATTTGCCTTGATATACTTGAATTTATCTTTAAGAAAAAAAAAAAACCCTAGTTGGTCCCTGTAAAAAGGATAGCAAAGAAGGAGAGAAGAGAGGAAAAATTTTCAGGGAAGAGGCATGGATTGGAGGCCATAAGGAGAGAGAAAAATTGAAGAAAAAGGTGCATGAGAGATAGGAAAATTGAGATAAAAAAGACGCATGAATGAAAAAGTTTGAAAGAGTGTGTATGAAATAAAAGGAGCTACCATAGGCTACAAAGGGAAGGGTGATAAAATCTCACTATTGCTTGCCTCTCACCTAATGCGAAGCCAACCCTAGAATTGCCATCCCAATCTAACAAATTGTAGGGTGATATTCTTTTTTTTTGTCTCCTTTCATTTTGTAATGCAATGCTTGAGCTTGTGTTTCTTTTTTCCATTTCTTTTTTCCCTTCTCTTTTGCTTTTTTTCCTTTCTCTTTCTTTTTTTCTTTCAATGATTCAATTTCATAGCCAATGATGATAACATTCTTGCCACTTATTCTCCTTTTTTTCTTCCTTCTTTTCATGTTCTTCTTTGCATTTTTTCATGACAATTAGAGGCATCCCTATATTTTTGACTGGCCAACAATTAATTATGCTCAAAACATATTGATGGATCTATGGTTGATCTTCCTCAATTTCCTTTATTTTATTTTATAAAACAAAATTTTATTTTAAATTAAGTTTTCATGAGTGATACTAAATCACCATGAATTTATAAAAGCATCAAATGAAATACTGTAAATAACACTAAGTCATCGTAAGTAAAAATAATAAAATTGTTGGCATATTTTAGGTTATATCATAAGTGATACTGAATCACTATATATCCCCGAAAAAATATCAAATGAAATGTCGTGAATGACATTAAGTTATCTCAAATAAAAATAACAAATTTATTGGCATATTTTGGATCATGCCATGAGCGATGCTAAGTCACCTTGGATATCTAAAAATGTCTATCATAATTTCCTTATTAAATTAAAATATTTTCTAAAAAATTATTCTTGAAAATTTCTTTTATTCTTTTAAGGTTTGTCATGAGTGATATTAAATCACCGTATACACTTAGAGCGTCAGTCAGTAGATTGTGAGTGATACTAAATCATCATAAATTTCAATGCTGATTACTTTTCTCTTACCTAAAAGTATTTCCTTGGATTAGATTTTTATTTAAAACAAATAAGTATAAAAATATAACCCAAAATATCAATCTTTTCAATAAAGAAATTAATTAAAAGAATTTAAAAAATAAAAAATAATATTTTAAACTACATGAACTTTGATTATTATCATAGGATACGAAGGCCCTAGACTTTAATCCTAGATTAAGTCCTAATTTGTAAATAAATTATTTGTTTTTATTTTTATTTGTTCCCTTTTTCATGTGATTATAAAGGGTAATTAAGATATAATTAAAAGGTCGATTAATTTATGCAATCAATTTAAAGTAACCGTTCTTATGAATGGGTGTCATGGGGTGCCCAACACCTTCTCTATATACAATCAACTCTTGAACCCTTTTCACAGACTATCCTTTTTTATTATATAATTTTTCAAAATTTCCTAAAAACTTTAGAGGCGACTCTCATTTATTATATTTATCGATGTTTCATCATGGGCAAAGTCACAATCCGAGCGCGACAGTGGTGATGAGAGGCTCAGTTTTTTTATCTTTCAGCCTTTGAACACAGGAAAAAAAAGAAAATAATGGTTATGAATCCAAATTATATGTGTCACCCCCTGACATTAAGAGCATGATTGGCATGAAATATGAGGTGTACTCATATTTTATAAGCCTGGATAGTCAAATGTTGAGTTAAAATATCGATACATAAATTATATAAAATAATAAAATTCATAAAGTTTCACATGTTTTGTAGAAATTTCGACAAAATTTTTCCTATAATTTGAACCCTCCAAAGTTTTTACAATAACAAAACCTGTCAACCAACCCAGCAAAGGAGACTAGCTCTATATTAACAAATTACATACTAACAAATTAAAATTAGGATCTAAGGTATACGTGAAGCACTAACTACCATTGTATAATATAATGAACATTTACATTAAAATAAATGATTGAAGTGTGCTTCCATCATTCAAAAAAATAATAATAATAAAGCTCCTTAATGATCAATAGGCATGTGCAGGGTCAATTACGTTATTTGAGAATAAAATTTTTTTTTGGTAAGTAGCATTCCAATCCAAATTTTAGATACAGCATGTAAAAGTAGTAATTAATAAAATTTAATTTAAAATAAACCAATGAAATATTTAAACATATATTTTAACTAACACTAAATGACAAAGTTGCTCAGCAATATGACCGTGACATAAACCAATAATTTTAAAATTTTATAAATTATCAAGAATCGTATAACTCGTAAAATATGTAAAAGGAATTCAAATAATACAAAAACAACAAAAACAACAAACCTAATATAAAACAATAAATTTTAAAGCCAATCTAGGAGGGAATTTACCATATAAAATTATGCACGATCAAACAAAAGTTTGTTTAATAAAATAAATTTAACAATAATAAGTTTCAAAAATTTCACTTTTAGTGAAACCTTATCAAAACGATTAACAAGCGTGAATACACAGTTCACGAGGGTAAGTAACCAACAAACGTGACTTAAAGCCACAAAATAATCAAGCATGTTCAGAAGTCATGAAACAAGTGTAGGCATGAAGTTCATGAAACAAGCATGAGTACGATACTCACGAATATCCATCCCTCCATCACATGCGTTGGCCTACGCACGGGGCTCACACCTCCTTTAAGCACCCTGTTAGTTAGGTGTATCATAGTGTGCCAAGGACTAACGAAACTAACATTAGCAAACAACATTTTAAACTCAATCCCCTTTAATAAAAACCAAGTGTGTATATAGAGCAAGACAACAATATCAAAGTTTTTATTTTCAAGGTTTTTATTTTCAACCATATCGTTTATTATTGATTCCCCATTATCCAAATTCATTTTCATGTTATACGTGGAATTAAATAATTAAGCTATAATAACATCAATTATTGGTAAATTCAGGACATGACAATCAATAAAACAATTATTATAAAAATTAAATTGAAAAAAAATATATTAATACAATTTACAAGGGACTAAAAGTAAAATTCAAATAAGGAAATTTTTTTATAAATATATTACTAGAATTATATTTGAAACGCTACCCACTCACTTAAGAGTTTTCAATAATTTTAAAACTTGACCCCTTAAATTCTCACTTACTTCCATGACGCCCTAAGTAACCTAGCACATAATTCAACAATCTTTCTGTCATTATAAACAAACATAATTAGCATTCAAGCTCTCCAAGAACTCTTTAAATTTCTTATTAATCCTTCCAATAACTTCCATCAAGTAGTTCAACAATGTTTGGTAGTATTCAATTTCAACCACAATCACAACACTTATTCCAAATTAACAAAATCATAATTATCAAATAGTTTGACAATTTTCCTTTAGGTGATACACAATTCCAATAAGCAATTCTCAACCTTACAACTTATATATGTAAAGACATATAATTCCTCAAGTTACATTTATAATTCCTTTATGCTCTAATATGAAAATTAAATAGTCATATCTCCTTCAAATTTCATGTTTAAGTAACTTAGAACATAATATAAACTAAATCATAAGCAACATCATGATTTGCAAATAATAATTTAGATAGCATTGTCTTCATTTTAGTTCTAAATACACTTGAGTCAATTAAACTATTTGACAAATCTTAATTCATCCTTATATCTCCTCATAACCCGTCCTAAATCATAAATCATATATAACAAACCATGTCCATTATTCTTATGTTTTCTTTAAACTTAATAAAGTACTATACAAAAATCTTATGTAATTCTTGCTCCTAATTAGTATTTTAAAATTTCAATCATTAGCTCAAGCTACTACTCACATACATTCTTTCAAACTATATTATGACCATTTAACATCATTCTCTTAAGCCTTTTCACAAACATCTCGAAAGCATTCATCAAAGTTTAGTTCACAATAAATACCCAAAAATTTAATCAACTTTTAACATTAATTTTAACATCATCAAAAACACAAAGCATCTCAAATTAAATTCCAATCAACACTTAAATCACATTTCGCAGCAAATAAAATCAGCAATTTCAGCCAAAAATTCAAACATGTATATACTCATTCAATAAGCTTCCTTCCTCACTATTTTAGATAATAAAGAAGCTCAATTTTCCTCATTCCTACTAACAACCAGCGGGAACAAACAAAACAAATGCCAGCTCCTGTCTCCAACAGCCACAACACGCCAGACCACAAGAAAAATAGAAGAAGAGGAAAAAGCAATTACTCACTTCCTAAGCACCAGCCCGTTGGAGGAAGATGGAAGGAACAAGATTCAGTACACCCCACTCCCTGGTCACCCACGCACACCACACCAGCACCGAGAAAAGAAAGAGACAGAGGAGCGTGAAGTAGCTGTGGGAATCACGGCAGACAAGGTTCAGCGAGGAGGAAGAGAAGCAGTAATTTCACATCAGAAAAAGAAAAGATTGAGCCTACTCTGCACACTTACACGAACGCCCAACTGTTGAGGAGAAGAAAAGAAAAGAGACGAACACACACTCACCTCTGTCAGCACGCAAGAACGAAGAAATAGAGGAGAGATTCAGCTATAGAACTTAAGCAAACTGACGAACAACAAAAGGGAAGGGAGTGAACGAGTTTCAGGAGTGGAGAAGACACACACGCTAACGGTAAAGCCGGAACCAATGCAACTGGAGGAAGAAGAAAAACACGGGTCATCTCTCCCTCTGTCCTACGCAAATGACCGACTTAGAAGGATGGAGAACATGAAATAATAAATTTATTGGGAAAATTACAAAACAATACCCAGAGCTTGTTGGGAAAAATTTTAAAATAATACCCCACCAGATTTTTATAAAAAAAAAAAACAAGGGACACTTTAGTACTTTTGTCATATAAAAGAAAATAAACTAATCCTTGGTGTAAGTAAGATTTAAACTCTAGATCCCTATATAAGCAACAAGTATAAATTTCACTTGGCCAGTACTTTTCATGTGTTATAACTAAATTAATTAAATAAAGTCTCAAATGGGAAAGGAAAATCATTTAATTTAAATGTTTAGGTCATTACAATATGAATTACAGATAAAGATTTTACTTTTTAGAAAAGAAATTATAATTAAATTTCCATTTAAAAACCCTAAGATTATACTCTAATATTTTCTAAGATTTAAATTTAATATACCAATAAACATTGATTCTAGTAAAAAAAAAAATTGTCTATTTAATAGTACTTGATTTTTATTATTCATATAAATTATGAGCTGGTGAGTTTCATTTTCCTAATAATAAATGTGGGTTTGGCTTTTATTTATCAAAAGTCAGTTTGTCAAAAATTTTTTCACAAAAATTAATTTAGTAAAAATTAGTTATTTTCACAAAATTTATATTTGAATGTATTTTTTTTAAAAATCAGTTGAACAAATTAAAATTTATTTAAATTATCTTTTAAATGAACAATTACTAAAAGAAATATTCTTTTACGATGTTATGTAATTTGTTATACACATGAGATATATTAAAAATATCTAAAAATTTGAAAAAAATTAAATAATATAAAATTTGATACGTTAAATAATAAGAATATAAAATATAAAATTTTATATATTAAAAAAATTATATAATAAATAGTTTAACATATATTAATATAAAAATTAACATGATTAATTGTTTGATATAATATAAAATTTTATTTTTAATTAATCATGAAATGTTCTTTAGAATGTGTTTAAATACAAAAGTATTTAATTATTTCTTATTTTTTAATATTACCTCTTTTTTCTATTTAGCTAATTTTTTCATTGGAACATATGATTAAATATGAAAAAGGTTGAATTTTTTTATTTTTAATCAAAGTTATTGAATTAACCATGCTTCTTAATTTGATCTTGTAAAAATCACTTACTTAATCAAAGAGTATAATGCAATTGGTGTTGAAGTCTTGATTACAAATTTTATTTATAATTTAATTTAATTTGTAAGGGAGGGTAATGATGGAATGAAGGGTAAAGAGAGTAGAGTAATAAATGCTGGAGAAGTGTCAAAGTAATAATTTAATTTATTTTGAAAAATTCCAAAAAATAAAGTTGGCCAAAATCACATTTGGGTCTCATTTTAATGTGCCTTTATAAAGTTAGTTTGCATGACAATAAATATTCAAAAAACATCTGACTTTTAAAAATAAAAAACTACTTACAAGATGTTAAATGTTATAAAACCAAATGGATCTTAAAATTTTGTCTAAAGTTTGGAGTTTCAAAGTGAAAGAAGCTTCTCGTAGGCGTGATTTAGGGAAGTATTGGAACCAAACACTTCACGTCGTCGATTGACGCCATTGGTATCGTCTTCATCCCATCGCCTTTGCGGCCTGCTTGGATATGCCATGAGAAATAATTATTTATGCTGAAACCACATTTTGGTAAAAAAAAAAAAAATTCAAACATCTCCATTTTTACATAATTGATTATGATATCCCAGACAATGTTTGGATGGAACCTATTCTCACTTGCTTTAATTATACCCGTTGGAGCGTTTATTTCTTGTCAGAATTTTTAGCCTACCAATTATACCCCTGGCATTGAGTGAACGCGTGAACAAAAGTGTAAAGCATGAACAAAAGGTGCGAACAATAAACAAAGTGACTGTTTTTGCATGCAACTCGAGATTAGAAAAAAGTGTCGAAAAAAAATAACAATAAAATACCTACAAGTGTCCCAACTTATGAATTAAAAAATCTGATTAAAAAAAATAACAATAAAATACCTACAAGTGCCCCAACTTATGAATTAAAAAAAGCTGATTAAAAAATAAAAATAAAAATATTTATTATTTATTATTAAAGATAACAAAACATTAAACGCAAAAAACATTAAAAAACTGTAATATTGATGAAAAATATTATACTATAAATTTAATTTAAATTTAAATTATTTATATATGTGTTAAATAATTTTTAAAATATTAAATGTATCACTATTATATTTTTTGTTAAATAAATCAAATAAATTTGATAATATCATATGCAATTTCATACCCTAAAACTCATGTCTTTTATTGTAATTTATACATCTAACATTAATTTTAATTAAAATTATCTAAATATCTTCAATTTTATCAAAATTAATTTCAAAAATATCATTCAAACACTATCATATTATAATATATTTAATTATAATCAAAATATATTATGTTAATTAATTTTTTATAATCAATTATATTCAATTGAAATCTGAACGCATCCAAATTTGACAAGTATTTTTAATTGATATGCGATAATATATACTTTCATAAAAGCTATTTATTCATTTATAAATAGATTTTCATTAATTTATAAGTAAAAATATTTAAATTCATGACTAAATGTACATAAATTCACGAGTCACTTCCTACAAATTATTTTAATAATAATTTATTTTTAACTGCTAAAATAAACACTATAATCATTTCATAACAGTACATTTTAATAATTCATGATGTTCAATGATTATTAAGGCCTTCACAAAGTATATAATGTGGGTTTAATAATAAAAATCCTCACACGGCTAAGACGCGGAGAATACGTGGAAAGAGGGTATGAGATTAATGGCCTAATTAAGTCAAGCTTGGAAGAAAGGCTAAAGACTCATTATAATGCCACTCATCACTATATTGACTGATGCATCCGTGTACTTGTGACGTTGTAGGTTTGGATATTTCAATTTGTGCCAATCACTCACTGAATTTTATATCATAAAGCATAGGAAAAACGCAACTATTAATTTATATAATTTTGTAGTATTTTGTTATCGGTTTTTATACTTTTTGTTTTTGTTGCTCCAAGTCTCCATTATTATTTTCATCTGCAATGTTAATTCCATTATTTTTAAATATGCTTAGATGGGCGGCAATGTAGCACTTACAATATTAAATTATCTAACGTGCAACTAACAATAATGTTAAATTAAATGTCAAAATGAGAAAGAAAGAGACAAAACAATCACAAAATATAGAGTAATGAAGATCAACATGAAGAAATTGAAAGTTATGTTTGACTACATGAAACAAAAAAAGTTCCAGCATCAATATTAACTAAAATTAGCAACCAACGGCTACAAAATTAGAAAAATAAAACAAAGTACCTTGAGGGACGAAACCAAAGCAAATGTGAAGAGACGAGTTTGAGGTTTATAAAAATTTAAGAAACAAAACATGACCTCTGTTTGACATGGGTAAAATAACATTAGTTACATGTGTGATAATTTATACTGTTAGTACTACATCATCATCCCTACATATAAGTATATTTAAAAATAAAGGAACTAACAGTACAAATAAAAAAATTATAAGGATTTGGAGTGATGAAAAAAGTATAGGAACTAATAACAAAAAAAGTATAATAAAACTTTTGAAACCAATAATTATATTTTGCCAAAAATATATTACAAATAAGTGTTAGTTACAACGAAAGAAGTTATAATTAACAGCTTAAATACGAAGCCAATATACTACATATTTTTGAAAGAATTCTGAAAACAAATCAAATCTAAATCTTCTTTCTTTATCAATTTTTTCTTGGGAGGAAAAATCTCAACATATCATATACAAAAATTCAAGAACATGGTTTTGGAAGGTTAGAGACTGTACTAGACAGTTTATGAAACATGCATAAGAAAGTTAGATTTTTCCTTTCTCTTACGGGAGCACATTCGGTTTCATAGGTCTTATGTTGCCTTTCTTTTTCTGATACACGAGAAGAAAGAAACTAAATGCCAGTGCTAATGTTCTATACCAAAAACAACTACTAACTTAGGAGGAGGGGAGAGAAAAGAATAAAACTCATTAATGCAAGAAAAAGCTAATTGAAAAAAAGGTTGGCAGCTTCATTAGCATCTCTCAAAATCCGTTGAATGAGCACCAACCAATCTCGAGCTAGCAACAATTTCATTTCACCAACAAGATCAGCATTGGAATGTCTCCCTTTCCCTTAGACGTGTTTAGTTGCATTTATTTTTGGCAGTCCTCATCACCTTTGATGAGATTTAAACTGTTTTGATTTAATTTGGATAGTTCAAATTCAAAGTTTTTAATTTTCATTTTGATTTTATATTTATTCAAATAAAAATTTTTAATAGATCTCATCAGGGGTCATGCTCATCTGACCCTTGATGAGCACTAAAGCTAGACTGTATTTAGTTTTTGTGAAAAATGTCAGAGAAGTAAGGGAATGAGATTTTAATAAATTTGATTTAATTAAAAAAATGGGAGAAGTATGGTTAAATTTTTTTAATTAATTTTTTATGTTTTTATCTTACATCCTCTCTTCATTAAAATCTTATAAAATTTGAAAAATTGGAGAAGTATGGTTAAAATTTTTATTATTATTTTTTGTCTTTTTATCTTACATCTTTTCTTCATTAAAATCATATAACATTACATATCCATTTTTTAAAATTAAACTCGTTAAAATCTCTCTTCCGTAACCCCTCCATTCCATTTCCCTTTAAACCAAACAAGAGGTTAGACAACATATCAAGCATACTCAAACACTTCCTATATTGCCTTATTTTTCCAAATTTGAAATTCCGAAAGCAACAACAATATTCTTTGGAGCCAATTGAATCAATATGTTATTGGGCCGCTTTGTTTTAATCTTGACAAAAAGTTATTTTGATCAATCTATTCGATAACATTGTTGGGGAATTTTATATAAAACACGACTAGTTGATGGAAAAAAAT